ACTGAGCCACCCAGGCGCCCCAGGCGCCCCTAAGTCATTTCTCTTTTACTACCGAAGTACTAATATATCTTTTGAAAATAAATGCTGTGGCTTTGTGACGGAGTTACTTATACAGTTTGGGTCTTCAGCTGTTCTATACTATTAAATAGAGATGAAAATTAGACATTTCCAATTAGTCAAGGAATTACATTAATATTTATTTCCTCCCCTCAGGTCAAAGAATTTTTGAGCACTTTGTGATTTTGCTGAAGACTACAGGCAACCAAATGATTCCAGCTTTGTGTATCTTCGTAGCTCAATATTGATACAAGTCTCTAGAAAACACAGGTTTTTTACCATTTTTGTTCCAAGAAAAAAATTGTTTTGATGAATTCTATATAAAAGTTTATGAGCAGTTTCTTTTCTTTTTTGCTTTAAAAAAATAAGACATCTAAATATCTCTCACGACAAAAAGTCTAGAGGTAGATGGTTCCAGAGTAAGTACTGGCTAAATTACATCATAAAGGACCCAGCCTCCTTCTGTTTTCCCCTCTATTATTCTCCTCAGCAGGTTGTCTGCCCATCCCCCCTTGCTTCTTATTTCACTGGTGACCAGTTTCTTAACTGGGAACTTTAATATTACATGTAAATGGTAATGTGACCTGTGTAAATTAGTGTACCTATTACAAGCTGAAAAGTGGAATTTAAGGAATCCCTAAAAAAGGATTATGAAGTTTTATTTTAAATACTTTTGATCAAGTGTCTCCCCTTCCATCTTAATTTATGTGGAAGATGAGACCAGTTTAGCATTTAATCACTTCATTGATATTTATGAATGTGTCTATAACTCATTAATAAAGGAGCAGGTCAGACTTTGTTTAACAGCATAACTTATCAGTATTTAATCTTTTTTTCCTGCTTTTGTTTCCACATTTGTGGTATGGGTGAGACTGCATCTTTTTGCATGGGATTTTAGAGGATTAAAGAGGAAATGATAACTTAAAATGTTTTTATACTTGAAAGATAAATGAGTATAAAAATTCAATTTATATGGAGCTTAAAATAGCTACCTACTTTCTTTTTTTTTTTTTTTTTTAGCTACCTACTTTCTCTCAGACCATTCTTTTAGAATGGAATATTACTCTTATAGTTAAAAGATGGTTTAAATTATGATTGTCTTTAACTCATATGAGGTGAAATTATAGTTTTCCCTAAATTTCTTCCTATTTTTATCGGTAAAAATTTAGTGGAACATAACAAGGGATAAGTTTTTCTATTTTATTTTTTGTTGACCCTGTACAGGGAATGAGTAGTTTTTCTTTACCTTTATACTTGGTGAGAAGTCAAAACAGAAGCTGAAGACAAGATAGATTATCTTCTTAGCAGTGCAGTCTCTTTTATCCCAGCTCTTACTTCCTGCCCTTACTTTCTTGCTCTCTGGATTAATTAGGCAGCCTGCTATTTTCTTCTTCTTTTTTTAAGTTTTTATTTATTTATTTTTTTAGTAATCTCTATACCCAACATGGGTCTCCAACTCACAACACCAAGATCAAGAGTGCATGCTCTTCTGACTGAGCCAGCCAGGCACCCTGGCAGCCTGCTATTTTAAAGTTTAAATGAAAGTCACACATTTCTGCTTTGAGAACATCATGATCACTCATCACTTCACAGTTTGCTTTGCTTTTCTGTAAGGTTATACCTTAGGGTTTTTTCCTCCTCCTCTAAATTACTGATAAAAATCATCTTGTTTTATATGTTCTGTATCTTGAAAGCATTATCATTTTTGTTAAGTATATATAAGGAAATATAATAGTAAAGAAGACAAGGAGGTAGAATAGTTGTAATTTTTAAAAATCTGCATGGATTCATTTTAGGTCTGTAGATAAAGGTTTTTTTCAAGTTTGTTTAGTTAAGGTGTGTAGTGTTTTTTCTATGTATTTAACCTTTCTACTTGACATTTTGGAAAAATTCTGTTTTTGAAATGAGGGGAAGAGTCACTTTGACTTTGAAACTCGTTTTCCTTTTTAAAATGTCATTTTTTGTTTTGGTTTTTTGATAATCAAGGATGATAATTTTGTAGGTTAAACGTTCCAGATGCACTGATCTTTTGAAAGGGAAACTTTGTCTCAAGTTCTACACTCACCATGAATATTGAAACTATCTCATGATATTGTATGGGGTTTTTTTGTTTGTGTTTGATACAAATAAATTTGCTTACTAAATATTAGCTTAATAAATAAGTATAAATCTCATGAACTGTGATAGAGCTATACCATTGAAATGATTATCTTTTTAAAATTAAAATTTATTCTACTTTTGAAGAAAAATTATGAATATAAAAAGGTGACAGTGGTTTAAATAACATTGATTCTGTTTTAAGTGAAGATATAATTTAGAGATTTTTAGTAACCTCTAGAAATGTTTAACTTAATGCCTTTTTAAAATCTGTAGAATTGAATAAAAGCTTAAAACATTTTTTTAAAAAAGTTAACTCACAACTCTGCAAACATTTTAAGCCATTTGAAAATAAATATGAAAGTATGGAGAGAGACTTTTATCCACAGATTGTTTTGCTAGGGATATTATAAGAGTAAGATAAGTTTTGGAATAGATCTCCCCCCCCCCAAAAAAAAGGATTCTAGAGTTAAATGTTAATTCCTGTTTTTCTACATCCATTCATGATAAAAACCCTCAATAAAGTAGGTTTATAGGGAACATGCCTCAACATAATAAAGGCCATATATGAAAAACCCACAGCAAACACCATCCTTAATGGGGAATAACTAAGAGCTTTTCCTCTAAAGTCAGGAACAAGACAAGGATGTCCACTTTCACCACTTTTATTCAACATAGTAGTGGAAGTCCTTGCCACAGCAATCAGAACACAAAAAGAAATAAGAGGAATTCAAATCAGTAAGGAAGAAATCAAATATCCACTCTTTGCAGATAACATGGTACTATATAGAGAAAACCCTAAAGACTACCAAAAAAGTGCTAGAACTGATAAACAAACTCAGTAAAGCTGCAGGATACAAAATCAACATACAGAAACCTGTTGCATTTCTATACACCAATAATGAAGCAGCAGGAAGAGAAACTAAGAAAACGATCTCATTTACAATTGCATCAAAAATAGTAAGATACCTAGGAATGAACCTAACCAAAGAGATAAAAGACCTGTGATCTGAAAACTGTAAAACACTGATGAGAAAAATTCAAGACAACACAAAGAAACGGAAAGACATTCCATGCTCATGGATCAGGAGAACAAATACTGTTGAAATGTCTATACTACCCAAAGCAATCTACGTATTTAATGCAATCCTTATCAAAATACCAAAAGCATTTTTCACAGAATTAGAACAAATTTGTATGGAACG